TAGTAAATGCAAACTGTTAAGTAGCTGGGGAGAGAGTATTGGAGAGAAAAGTAGGAAACCGTTCTCCATCTTCAACTCTTCTCTTCCGTATTTTCCTACGTGTTGGCTTTTTTATTCTTATCCCAAGGACATAATTTTGTATTCTTCAAGCTGTGACAAGCCTGAGATAAGCTGATGAGTGACAAATGCTGCTTTCTAGTATTGGCTAACCCTCAAAGCATGGACGGCAACTTTACAGAGTCTGCTGTAAATAATAGTTTGAGTCACAGCGCGGTGGGCCGCTGCAGGTGCTGCTGGTGCCATGTGTCAACTGGCAAGGGATATTTTGGCATTATGAAGTAGAGCCTAAAGTCTTGAATTCTCTGTCAAGTCTCTTTGTTTCTGCAGGAAGCTCGGGACTCTTGTTTAAACTAATCCTTCAGTGATTAATAGTCCAGTCAGCGGTGCCCATCTTTTCTTTGGCTCTGAGTTCAGCAATGTTTGATCCTGCACCTTTAGGGTGATGTTTCTCACTGCAGCCAAGCTGATCCGATGGCAGCTGGCCCAACAACGAGCTGCCTCATTCCTCCGTGTGTCCGCCCTCATGCTGACCCGGATGCCTGTATGAACAAGACAGTTCAGCCAGCAGAAAACTTGTGTTGATTAGTTTTCTGTTCCATTAATGGCTGAAATGATTAACCACGAGTTCAGATCACAGAATAATTCAGATCAGAAGGGGTCTCTGGAGGTTGCATGGCCCAACTCCTTGCCTAAAGCAAGGCCAACTTTGGAGTTGGGTTAGGCTGCTCAGAGCTCGTGTGAGCACCAAAGCTGTGGGGCAAAGAGACGCTGTTCTTCTCAGCGACAGCAAACTCTTTATTTTTTAAGTAAGAGGGCCCCACTTGATTTTCTGAAAACTTGGCTCCTCTTGGTGGCTCACTGTGGTGTGAAGACAGTGGTACAAGGAAGAAGAAGGTGGGGATGTCCCTGGCAGATGCTCACTGTTGGGCTGGCACCGTCAGCAGCTGAATAAGACACAGTAAATTGAAGCTTTTGGCAGTTAAAGGATATGTGGGCAATGGTTTGCAGCTGCGAGATAAGCCCTCATGCTGGGCACAGCCGTTACCGCTGCCGGAGCTCAGTGGGTGTTGGGGGGGGTGTGCAGGGCTGAGTGCTCTGCTCTGCTCCTCGCCGCAGCAATCCTGGTGCTTCTTGACCATGTTCTTGTAACATCAGGGGCTGAAATCCTGAAGGAAAGTAACAGGCACCTGGCAAAAACTTCAGGCTTCTTTAGGAAGCATCCAGTCACTGGAAGTGGTTATAAATGCCTCGGTGATGAGACGGCAGCGTGGCCAGCCCTAACTGTGTTTTTGGGGCTGTGCCATTGCTGAGCGGGTGCAGCTGGTGGGATGGCTCCACTCTGAAGTGGTTGGTGTCTCCTTATCACACTGATTGCATGCAGCTTAACACATCTGGTAAGGGCAAGAGAAATGAATTAGCATGGACAGGTGTTTTCTCAAATTCTGGTTAAAATCAAACAAAAAGGCATGCAAGTCTGCCGAACGGTGTTGGATTGTGGGATTGTAAGACCTCATTTCATTAAATCGCTCCAGGTCAGAAAAATGTCTGTGCATTATATCAGTCTCATTGAAGCAGCCACAGGAAAATACATTAGTGCATATTCATCAACGTACTCAGCATTGTATTCAGCAATACCGTTAGGCACAAAGCAACAGTCTAGGTCATTTTCTGTGTATTTATGCCCTGAGTGGGCTGCACATTTAGATGTAACTTAGCCTGTTTCATTGAACAGTCTTCTGAGCTGTAGCAGCTCCTCCATCCCTGCAGGGGCCGTGGCTACAGCAGGGATGTGCTGCCAGGGGCGGCAGGCGCAGTGGAAACTCCTCTGGCGTGGCTGAATGAAATGAGGTTTCCTGTCGTGTGGTCTGCCCGCACCGAGTTATGGACTTTTATTGCCCTAAAACCAAAACTGATTCTTTAAGCCTGGCAAATTAACATTACCTGTAATATCTTTATGGCTGAAGTGGACAACAGATCTTTCTAGCATTTATTGCACCAAAAGATGAAATCATTTTTTATTATAAAATCATACAGTGAAAGCTTGCGCACCAGGAGTTCACCTGACATCAGTCTCCTTTTCCCTGGCACTGGGATTTCTCTGCGTTGTGGTTCCAGCCTGGGAGCCAAGGGTGCAGCTCAGCTGCTCTGCCTGCTGCATCCCAACTTCCCAAATGCACTATTTCTTTGAGTTTTTCACTAGTAGAACTGAGATCATGTGTTTGCTTCACAGCTCCTCTGTAGAATCCTCAATTTCTCTTCCAGGTTAGAGAAACCTCGTTGCGGCACAGTTTGGTTTAGCATTGGTGCAGATTGCAAACGAAATGCCCACGGATTGTTTTATACATCCCTTTGATGTTTAAGAGTTTCTTTGAAGTACAGAGCATTTTACCTGTGTTTATCCTTGTTCTAGCAACTTGCGGGATTCTAGTAAATCCTTTAATACAAATATTTCTCCACTGAGATCAGCTGTGCACACCTAAGGCTGGAGGCACAGCGATTCAGTGATCAGTGCCTGTCCTATCTGTGCCATTCCTCTCTGCTAGCGCAGCTCAGTGCCAGATGTCACCTGTAGCAGGTGACACTCACTGTCCTGGAAAGCCATCAACTGTAAGAAGCACTTGAGCTATCGTATTCCTGTTCTTGCCAGCAAAGTAGTCTTGCCGTTAATATTAACATCTCAAACAAGGAGTAGTAAAACCCTATTTCTACCATGATTCTCTGTATCTGCCTGACACAAAAAAAGACATTACCTGGGAAGTTAGATAGATCCCTGAATGACTGCGTACTTCTCCCCGGCATCTAATACAGAACGCTAATGCACAAAAGCAAGGAAATAAAATTAAAACTAAAAAAAAAATTGAGGGCACCAGAAATCTTGCCCTGCCCACATGACAAGCAGAATGGGGCCAGTTCCTGGATGCACTATGCACCGTGTTATTTGCACCCGTGCAAAGTGAGATTAGGGTGGGTGTAAACCACCTGAAGACAACTTCAGGACATTCTGCACTTCACTTTTTGTGCAGGTTACTCATAGAAACACCCAGGAGCTCAGTGCGGTAGGACAGGGACAGCAGAGTTCATCATCTCACAGCAGCGAGTGGAAGTGTACACGAGATTTGCCAGTGGCAGCAGGAGGAGTGGCATCTGGTGTTCCTGGCCCTTCTCTGCGATAGCTGCTGACCTCTGCATTCTAAACGTGCCCCGGCTAGGTGGCCTCACTGTGACACTGAGCTGGCAGCTGGGGGTCGGCTCCATCTGCCCTCCTGCCCCCTGCACGGCCGTCTTTGGCACTGCCAACAAGACAGAAATGCCCACGTGGCTGGAGGCCGGGAGTCCCAATGGCAGCTTGGACCTGGAGGAATGTGTGGCCAGCACGTCTGCCCATGTGAAGTCGTCTAGTCCTGCCGTGAGATAACACCAGTCCTGGTTTTGAGCTGCCTGAATGAACCATTCGCTCAGGTTTTCTTGGACCTAGCAGCCAGGTTCAGGCCTAGTCTCCCCGTGGAGAGCACAGAGTACCCCAAAGTCGAAGCTGGTGAATGAAGTCAGACCAGAAGACCAAAGCAGGATCCTCCACCTCCAGTGGCTCTTTCACGTAAGGCCAAAATAAGCTGCCACTGATGGGACCTTAAACAGATCTCCCCATACCAGCCATGCCATTTGCTTGATCTGTGCTTTGGTTAGCAGTGAAGTAGTTAACAGAGCTGTCGGCTCACTGCCCTATGCCTGGAGTATCTCCTGACTTGGGGCTTGCTGCTGTCACCTCACAGCCCACTGATCTTCTCCAGACCCTTAAAAAGTTGGACCTGTCTCGGTTTGCTGCTTCTGAGCTGTCGGCGGGAAACAGTGCCTTTGTGCCAAGGGAATGAGTCCTTGCTCACAGTAACTGCTCATAAAACCCTCGTTAGAAAAACCTTAAAAATCTCTTCATATACCCACAGTTGTGCCACTGTTAGGGCTGCGTGCCATCCTGGTATCAATCTTTTAGTGCACTCTGTTTCCTTTGCCAAGATTTTCTTCTTAACTATAAAGCTCACTTCAAGAGCGGTGTTTTTTTTCTAATTCAGAGCCCTCATGTTGAATACACAGCGAGGTTTCCAGGTCTAAGAAACAAGACATCGTAAAGTCACTGTGCATTTTTCAAAATCTAGGAGGGTTTTGTTTTGTTTCTTTTTAGCAGAAATTTAAAACTAAAGGAAACATTGGTCTGCTGAGCTGGGCCAGTTCATCTCTAGCCTTTAGCAGGACTTGGGAAAGATGAATGACCAAATTCAGGGGATTTGTGGGCAAACACACCAGAAACCTGGTTTTGCCATGGAAAGTGGGAGAAGATAAGAAGGAACGGACTGTGTGCTGGCACTTCAGTTACCTCTGGCAGTACATGAGAAGAGCAGGTTGGCTGATCCAACTGAGTTGAGCTATTACCCAGGGCCAGGAGCGATAGTCCTTGCAGGCATCGAGGATGGAGCTGGTACCTTCCACTGCAGCTCACTGGTAATTTAGGGACAGAGCAAATTTGACTTCTGCCTTGAGAGAGGGGATTTCCAGCACAGGACTGGCTCTGTGACTGTCAGGCAGGTCTTGACTGATCCTTCCCCTAGGAATGCTTTCAGTGCATTTTACATGATCACTGGCAGGTCACCACTTGCAGAAGGAAGAGGTGTAGGTGCCAGTTATTTTCAGGAAGGAAGGTATGACTGAAAGCGTGATCCTTCTGGAGTTCAGCCCATCCAGGCTAAGCCACAGTGTCCCACAGCTCGAGTGCTGAACCAAGGATCAGTGCATTTGGTTTTTATTCTGGCATGGAGAGCAGTAGCCTCCATTCAGGGGGCTGTGAATACTCCAGGTTTTTCCATGTCACACTGTTTAAAGATGGAGGCTGCTCTTGTTTTGATTCTCGCCTGATTTAATTATATTTGCTTTTTCTCTTTTTATTTCAGTTGTGATTCCAAAGAGCCCTTTACCTGCCTCCGAAGTAAACTCGGAGAAACCTAGCATGCACAGTAGCACAAAGACTGTTTTGGGGCATCAACAAGGGCAAAGGCGTCGCAAAACAGGGAAGAAGCGTGGTCGAACGACCAAAGCGCTAATCCATCACCCCATGCCTACACCCTCCAAGTCAGTGGAGCCTTTGAAATTCCCCAGAAAGAGAGGCCCCAAGCCTGGCAGTAAGGTAAAAGCTGATGCTGATGCAGGCGGGTGAAAAGCAGGTGCTGCAAGTTCTGCCATGGGATGGTGCATGCGTGTGTTTGTGCACGTTTGTCTCAGCCTCTGGCTGTGTGACTGCAGCAAGTAGGAGACCAAAGGGGTATGTGGGCTGGGAATATCCCTCAGAGTCCAGCCCCAGAGCTGTAGAGAATGTCTGTGTCCTAAAGATCATTTCCATCAAGAAACTGTGTCTTTGGAGCTGCATTAGCTGTGAAGTAGCATGGCAGATGCTGTGATCATGACAGGATGGCCAAATGGTGGAATAAGCTCTTCCATCCATCATGTGTAGTTAGCCTAACTCAAGCAGAGGTGGCAGATCTCAGGCTTGTTATTTTTTCAGGATTGTGGTTTATAAAATACACACGTATTGATTACTAGGTTCTTGAGACTCCCCGTCATCACCATCAGAAGTGTGTCATGTTCCACAGTGCCTTGTCTGTTGGATGCAAAGGAGAGAGTGTAGTGATCATGAGTGGTAAAGGAGAGCAGGGATAAAAGGAGAAATATCTCCTCTTTTTCTGCAGAGGAAACCTAGGACATTGCTGAACCCAGCACCCACCTCTCCAACAACCAGTACCCCAGAACCAGACACAAGCACTGTGCCTCAGGACGCTGCTACAATCCCCAGCTCTGCCATGCAGGCTCCCACAGGTAAGGGTCTCAAACCGCATTCTTGACAAGATTGCACAGTTAGGAGCTGCATCAGTCAGAAAGCGACACACCAAGATACTCCCAATTCTTCCTAAACCCGTACACCAGCAAACGTTACAATCCCAGAAAGGCTGGCCTAATAGAGAGTGTGTCAGGAGGAAAAGAGAGGCACACGAGTTCAGATCAGCCGTTCGTTTATCTCTCTGTCTGTTTTGGAAATAATGAAGTCATAGGAAGATTGCAAGTCCATCTGGTCAGTGCAGGGACCCCTTTCCCTGAGTTACCACGTGCACACTAGTAACTCCACAGCTCTCGAAGGGCACTTCTCATGGCCCATCGTGCCTAGAGGCAGTACGGTGTGCAGCACCTCTCGTGAGTCCAGAGCGCGAGCTCTCCCAAACCGTGTCAGGCACAGCTGCTGAAGCTGCAGCAAGATGCAGAACAACTGCTGAATGACAGCAGCAATGATCTGTTCAGCTTCAGCCAGGATATTGAGGCAAACAGGGACAAGAGGGAGCAGGAGAGGAGTAGGAGCGGCAGTGCAGAGCAATATGCTCTGCTACAGCTGTGAGAAGTAGCTGAAGATGAATCTGGGCAGGAAAGTCTAATGCAAAGCTGCTTTTTATATGTTTGGTCAAGCACTGGATATGGGCTGAGCCCTCTGTTTTCCCAGAACATAACTGGCCAGTTTTCAGAGGTACCTAAAGAACCCAGTTTCTCTAAAAAGTGGGGGCTGCGTTCCTTCATCTCCTTTGAACATCTCAGACACCTTAGTGGCTGGCGTGGGAACCACTTTGCAGCCTGCCTTTGGGAGCCTGAGTGCTGGGGAAAGCATAGGAGAAACAGCAACAGCTTGGAAGGTGAGCGTGAGGCAGGAAGATTTTGGAGGTGATTGCCCTCTATAAGTGGCTCCGCTGTTAGGATGCAGACAGGCAGTGGTGGATTCCCCTTTGTGAGTGATTTGAGAGTCTTAAAATCTCAGCATCTCTCAGGTTGGATTTTAGGCATCTTTTTCTTGCTTTCTTGAGTGGGTTAATGGCAAACACGTTTCTCATCTTGGCAGTTTGCATTTACTTGAACAAGAACGGCAGCACTGGGCCCCACCTAGACAAGAAGAAAGTTCAGCAGCTGCCGGACCATTTTGGACCAGCTCGAGCTTCTGTTGTCCTGCAGCAAGCAGTACAGGCCTGCATTGATTGCGCTTATCATCAGAAAACAGTCTTCTCCTTCTTAAAACAAGGCCACGGGGGAGAGGTCATCTCAGGTGAGAACTGGCCTGCAGCACTTTGCCTTCAGAGATGTCATTGCAAGAATTCGCTCGTTGGAAGATGTCTCTCCTGAAGCTTGGTGCAGTCATGGGCCAGGGGCAGACAGAAGATTTCTGTCTTTTCTTCCTTGCCAAACATCTGTGTCAGTGAAGCAACAGCTAGCGGCTGACTCAGAGGCAGAGCAGTTAGCGTGGCCTCCAGGCACAGCTGCTGGAGAAGGCAGCATGCAGCCCTGGTATCAGCCTGGGCAGCAGTATGCTTCAGCTATCGTCCCCCAGCACTGCCTGAGCCCCCAGGAGGAGGCGAAACGGGTGGGATTTTCAGAACTCCTGATGGAAAGACAAGAAATACCCCAGTTTTTAATTTTGCTTTTAAGCCTGTGTTTACCTGGATGCTGCGAGTGCAGGCCCCTCCTTGAATGCCGTTCCATTCCCTCGAACGCAGCTTCTCAGGCGCTGCAGCCCCGTACCTGATGCTGGGTGCAGCAGACTGGTTTTAGCCTGTCCCGGGGAAGCGAGCTCGCCAGCGCTCAGCCAGTGGAAGGCAGTGGCTTTTGTTTGCTCTAGTCTAGACCAGCGATGCTGAGATACAGAAGCTGGCTGTGCAGCCCTGGGCGTAGTCTCCTGCCTTTGCTGGGGGTTTACGTGTTGGGCTCTGTTTGTTTCTGTCTCCAGCTGTGTTTGATCGGGAACAGCACACTCTGAACCTGCCAGCAGTAAACAGTATCACCTACGTCCTCCGCTTCCTGGAGAAGCTCTGCCACAATCTTCGCAGTGACAACCTCTTTGGGAACCAGCCATTCACTCAGAACAGCCACATGCAGCGCTCACACGAGTACGACCACGACAGGTATCTACCAGGTAGGAGCTGGGGCGGGGGCGGCGTTGTAGGGACCCCAGGTGCTCCGAGCCTTAACCCAGATTTTATCTTTATCTCAGGAGGCAGGCGTGTGTTTCAGAGCCCTCTCTGCAGGGTTCATTGCATCATACCTAGTGTCATGCACATGCCCGCAGGACTCTTTTTGCACAGGGTTCAAGTTGCTGTATTATCTGCCTGTCGGTCTGATTTCCATCTCTGCCTGTAGGTTTCTGCTCATCCGTGCTGTCTCGTCTTCCCTCCTCTCCTTGTCCCCCAGTCCTTCCCGCTTCCTGTAATCTGATTATAGTGACTTCATCCAGTTAGGAATTAAGGTGACTCTGCATGAGAAATAGAAGAGTGATAACATGTAGCAGGTAAACTGTAATTAGAAATGGAATTAAAACCTAGCACAGTGGTTTCCACAGTGGCTGTGAATCTGCTGCCAGCAGCCAGCACATCCAGCCCTTGGTGAAAGCTTAGCCCATTCAGAGATGATGCATGCTGCAGCGATCTGAGGCATAGGTGGCTTTGTTTTTCTTGGCATGGCTAGCACTCCACTGCGTTGAAGCAACTCCCCAGGCAAGACAGTTCATGCCACGATGCAAATCATCAGGCCGCAAAATTGCTCTTAAGCAAAAGCAGTGGAAAACAAGACAACCAGTTTTCCCTGCAGTGCTGGTAGTTGCAACAACCCCTGGGGTGATAGCTGCCTCCCCGGGCTGGCTGTGGGGGAACGACTGCTGTAGGAATGCCAGTCGTGGAGAGGATAAAAGCTAGCTGCACCCTCTTTAGGTAGTTGACAAGTGTCTTGTGCTGATCTGCTCTCCTGTCTTGCTTCCTCCACTACCTTTCTGCCCCCCGAGTCAGCAAATAGGGTCTGAGGTCTTTCCAAAGTTAATCATTTGGGTAATTATGGCTCTGACAAGAAAAGCAAGAATTTCTAATGTAAGAGGATAAGCACTTAGTAAGAACTGTTTAAGGAAAAGTTGCTAAGCATGAAGCTTAGGGGCAACAGCCTAATGCCACAGTGCTTCGTTGCATCTCACAAAGCACCCATGCTCAGGGGAAGGGATTAGCAACAGTGTAAAGAGCATGAGGATCTCAGAGTGACTGTCCTCTGCTTCCTCCATGGCTGATCAGCTGCCTGCAGGCTGAGACAGTGCAGAGCCATACTGGAGCCAGCAATGCCAGGAGCAAGGAGCTGTGCTGTGCTGTAAGAGGAGGAGCTGTGGAAGTGGGTTGGCTGCTGTGGCAGGTACAGGAACAGCACGTCTAGTTACTGGGACTAGAGGTTACCCCTCTAGGGAACCCCCAATTAGAAGAAATCTCTATGTTTCAGTGTGGAAGTACCCTGTCGTCATGCAATAGAGCAAAACCAGAATGGGAGGAAGAGGACCCAGGGTCTGGGCATGGTAGCAGGCTTGGATGGAGAGGGTTCTGTAGCTCACAGACATGGTTCCTAGCCACCATGACATGTCAGTGGTGTCTGTGCTAAGAGCTGGGCTGCCTGGCAGGGTGGAAAAGTATAAAGAGCAAAGTCAGAATTCGGGGAAACTCAGGCAGAGCACCAGATATGACACCATGCTGAGACCTGCCCATCCTGAACTCTTCGTTAGAGTGTTTGCAGGGATTAAAGAAAGATTAACCACAGTGAAGAGAAGTGATAACACCTAGTCCTGTAGTTCATACTGATGTCTCGGGGATTGCTGGTCATCTAACATTTTTCTCAAGCACCTGAAAGCAGATGATAAACATTGTTATCTACACATTACAGTGGCTTCTGATGAGGGCAAAGAAACAGTACCGGCGATTTTGAGAGGTTAGGGCTGGTCATGGAAGAATGAGGATGCGGTTGTACGTCAGCTTAAATCACACCAAGTGAGAAGGCTGCCGTGGTCTCACCTTCAGCTCTGTGTCCTGCTTTGTTTCCTCTACAGCACAGGTGCTTGTGTGCCTGAATGGGGCTGGTTCTTCTCAAAAACGATCACTGGTTAGGACTAGGAGTTGGTCTCAATTCCCAGAACAAACTCCCTTTACAGGAGCAGCACTGTGGATGCTGTGGAGAATTCATGCGTGTGCTGGGGCAGAAGAAGGAAGGTCTGCAGCAGCCCTTAGGTCAGCTGCATCCTGCCATTCTGTCTTGCTAAGTAAGGCATAATCATGGAAATAAGGGGAAATAGATCAAGTTGAACACCAGGAAGCAGCAGATTTGCAAGAAAACGGGAAGTTGATTGCTGTTAATAGGAACAGGGATGGGCTGTCAAATGTTGTGAAATGTCTGATCTGGAGCCATCTGAAAACACAGGACTGGACGGGCCTTCTGGACCATCGAGCCTTGGGTCCTGTTATTACAGGCACCACAGCATACAGTGTTGCTTTAATTATCTCTGGAGTTGGGGATTTTGTTTTTCCACTGGAGGCTGCTCCAAGGTTTTTCGCTGAATTTTTAGAAACTATGTTGTAGTTTCTAGCCCAAATTTATTCTTGGGTGACTTGGTATCCGTGTCTCCTTGTCTTAACATTGTCTTTTAGCTTAACTTAGTTCTCCTTCTTCTAGAAGTAGTTAGAGAGCAGTCGTATCCCTCAGGGGAGCTCGTCCTTTGGCTGCTCTGGTAAGAAAGGCTCTCTGCTCTCCTCATCTAGTGTGGGTTTGAATTAAACTTCATGAGGTGACCAAAGTGCCACCCAGCACTCTGAGGAAGAGCTCATGGGGACCTGTGGTCCCACGGCACTGGCACCACCGTGTTCACAAGAAATGTCTCTGGAAGCCGCTTTTCGTCACTGTATCCTTGTAGCAGGTGATGATCAACCTGTCCTGGTCACATACCCTGTTCTTCTCATCTGTTATTGTCAAATTCCCACCTCATGGTACAATGCTTCAAGTGCACATCTGCATTTTGCTGCTGGATTTACCTCCTTTCTGGTACTCTGTTCTATATATGTTTTTTCTGCATAATTTCAAATGTTACTTTATCTGGCCTGACATGGCAAGACATCAGCAGATTTCATTGGTGAATCTCTAAAATTTCTGCCAAAGTTATTAATAAAAATATTAAATGACACTGGGCTCAAGAATGATCCTCAAGAAAATTCATTAGCAATTGCTCTCCAACCTCATGTTCTCACTCAGTGCTCTGCCGACTGCTTTTCTCCTCAAATCAGATGGTTTTGCATATAACAAGGCTTCTGGTAATCCTCATGTTCTCTGTCTCAGCTGGTGGTTCTCCATATCAAATGCCTTGCTGAATTCCAGGTAAATGAGATTGACCACTCTTCCTTTGTGTGATAGATCAGTTATTTTCCCATGATAAGGAAGCTATGGGGTTAGTCTCCTCTGATGAACGCCTACCACAGTATGTGCCGTGTGTAATTGCAGTATTTTCCCTTCCCTTCCCTTTCCTTCAGAACCTCTTACAAGCCTGGCAGTACTGCTGGGGTCAGACGTAAGCATTTTGTTGCCAAGATAATTTTTCACCTTCTTTTTTAAATGTTAGCACCATGTTTCCAGTCACTCTGAGCAGCGCGTCACTGAGTTTTGTTAGAATTTGCTGCAGCAGACCCATGTGCACCTTCTTTCTTAAGTTACGTTTTGGCTTCCTCTGCACCCTCACGTCCCCAGTTTGAGTACATTCAGTTATTTGACTTCCACTTCTTAGTCAGTGGTGTATGTTTTCGTTCCTGTCCTGTTTCTTTTATCTTTTGAGCCTTGCCCCGGTGTTAACCTGGCTGCGACTGGAAGTGAAGGGTGGGATTTGTTTTACTGAACACAGGTGGATGTCACAGAGGCATCGACACCTTGAGCTAGTTGTGTAGGCATGCTCTGCCGTCGGGGAGGAGGTACCAGTGCAGTCAGTGCAAGTTACAGCATCCTAAAATAAGGATGCTTGACTTCGACTTTGACTTGATGAGATGAGGTGAGCAGACTCTCACTGACTGTAAAGGCTGCCTTGGGATGGCCAGATGTGCTTTTCTTCCTCCCCACCAACCTCCCAAGTTAGGTGAGGTGAAATATCCCTCAAAGCTGTCCCGTTTTGCAGGCAAGGACAACCTTTTTTTCTTTTTTCTCAATCTTTACCTTTCTGCACAGTATCCTCTCGCTCCGTTCCCATGCACTTGTTACTTCTGTAGCTGAAAACGCGGTCCTGTCTTTTCCTTTGCACTGTGTCAAAAGACAGAATGAGTTTAAAAGTTCGCTTCGACCCTGTACTTGCCATCCTCTGAGGTATATCTTTCTTAAGTTACGTTTTGGCTTCCTCTGCACCCTCACGTCCCCAGTTTGAGTACATTCAGTTATTTGACTTCCACTTCTTAGTCAGTGGTGTATGTTTTCGTTCCTGTCCTGTTTCTTTTATCTTTTGAGCCTTGCCCCGGTGTTAACCTGGCTGCGACTGGAAGTGAAGGGTGGGATTTGTTTTACTGAACACAGGTGGATGTCACAGAGGCATCGACACCTTGAGCTAGTTGTGTAGGCATGCTCTGCCGTCGGGGAGGAGGTACCAGTGCAGTCAGTGCAAGTTACAGCATCCTAAAATAAGGATGCTTGACTTCGACTTTGACTTGATGAGATGAGGTGAGCAGACTCTCACTGACTGTAAAGGCTGCCTTGGGATGGCCAACAGCACAAACCCAGACACGGGCAGATGTGCTTTTCTTCCTCCCCACCAACCTCCCAAGTTAGGTGAGGTGAAATATCCCTCAAAGCTGTCCCGTTTTGCAGGCAAGGACAACCTTTTTTTCTTTTTTCTCAATCTTTACCTTTCTGCACAGTATCCTCTCGCTCCGTTCCCATGCACTTGTTACTTCTGTAGCTGAAAACGCGGTCCTGTCTTTTCCTTTGCACTGTGTCAAAAGACAGAATGAGTTTAAAAGTTCGCTTCGACCCTGTACTTGCCATCCTCTGAGGTATACGACTCCATGCTGAGCAAGTCCTTTTCATCTCCAGTAAATGATCGCTTGTTCTCAGCATCCTTCTCAAAGTGAACATTTATCCACTTAGATTTGGGGTCTTTTCCTCCCAGATTATTTCCTCACCGATGGTACACGTTCATGATGTTTATGGCATCTTTTGAACTGAAGGTATTTTCTTTTTTTCCTGATGATCCGCATTGTGACTGCTGAGTACAGCTCTATGTATTACTCCATTTCTTTATTTTCTTAAAATTTGTCCTTTAAAATCGGAGACCCTAACTACAGACCTACTTTTGGTTTATCCTTACATTAATTTACACTGACCTAACTTCTGATTCCCTAGGTTATCTTCTACAACCTGACCTTCTGTGTTTGCATTACTTTTAAAATCAACCAATTTAAAAAATAACCCAAAACAAAACCTGATAAAACCTTTAAAAAGCATCACCTTTTGTTGTGGTTCTGTTACTGTTTGGTGAAGAAGGTCATGCAGTTTTACATTTGGAGATATCCAGAGACATTACTAAGAACATTTGTTTCTCATCTCTGTCTGGGCAATGAATGTTTCTTACAGGGACTTGTCCTGAGGACAGTATTTGTCTTTCTAATAACGTTACAGTGATTTTACTCGTATGGAGTCACAGGGCCTCAGTATAAGCAGCTTATCATTCGTTTCCCCAAAGGATTTTGATAGAACAGATACTTTTCTCTACCTTTGTATTTCTCTTTAGTCAACTGAATTGTGACTGTCTGATGCTTCCCACCCATCTGTACCTTCGTTTCTTTGTTTGGCGTGATGCATCTCCCTTGGTGTCCGGTCCCAGTCGCTCCCCGCCGTATTTCTGTCACCCCTCCAGCACCCGTTCCTGCCCTGCACCGGCAGTTGGGGCTGCTCCGTGCTGTTGTCCCGCTCCCAGCATTTGTCTATGAGCATTTCACCCCTCTGTCCCCGCACACCTTGAACGCTGCAGGCTCACACGTGTCGCCCGGGCTCAGGGCAGCTGGAAGGGGCCAGCCAGGAGTGCTGGTGGCTCACGTGGGCAGGTGGCGGCTGGTGGGTAACCTCTTCATTGCTTCTCGATTGACCATGCCTTGTCCAGATGGGGCATGGTCTGCCACCCACTGTATCGCTTGCCTGGCTGCTGTTCCCATCCGTGTTAGCACTTCCATTCTCTGTGTTCATCCACCCACTGACACTTTGTGTACAGCCTTTAGCCTCTCTGCAAAGAGACGTCTCGCAGCCCAGCCTGACGTCTTGTCTGCCGCGTACAATACGGAGAACCCCATCGTTGGGAAGCATTTGGAGAAGAGCAGCAGCGACAGCTGGGGTGCTTGAGGGATCCGTTTGGGGAAAGATTGAAAATTTGAGTACGGTTTGATCGAGCACTGTGTATGGCACAGAGTGTTTGCAAATCATCCAAGGGTTGTTTGCAAATTGTCTAAGGGTTACGTGCATCTGAAAGGTGAAGAGTGGGGAGGAGCAGGGATTGTGCGGGATGAGCCAAGGGGTAGAACAAGGAGAAATGGAATTAAATCAATCAGAGGTGATATTTGGGGTGACATATGGCAAAACGTGGTTAAGATTCTTTGTTAGGTTTCTTGCCACCCTTTTTTCTCTGGTAAAACTTGCAAAGCAAAATATAAAATGTTAAGCACTGACAGATGTGCTGGATTGCAGTTTTAACAGGCTGTTACCAGGCTGGCAATGCATGCGAGTCTCAAGTGACTCTGGCAAGACTGAATTTCCCAGCAAGTCTCCACTCCTAAATAGGGCTTGTTCTCTTTTCCTAGACAGAAGCAGTTCGTTAGACGGCACTCTGCAGGGACCAGGCCGGGGTACAAAGCGATATTCCCAAGATTCCCCTCCATACAGTGCTCCTCTCTCCCCCAAGTTACCAAAGAATGACCGTCACCCTTTGGAAGGTGAGCACAGCGTCTCTTCCCAAAGCTCGCTGTTTATAGCAACTTGTAATGGATACAGCAGGATTAGATTTGCTGTGCCAAATTGAGCCGTGGGTTTAGGAAGTCTGCTTTACTTTGTCTCTGGCATGGGTCAGTGCTTGGCGTTTCAGAGAGAAGTGAAGAAACCGCTCTATGCCAAGACAGGTTCCCCAAGCAGTTGTGTAAGGCATGTGGAATGCAGGGAGAATTCCTTCTAACCCTGATAGTCATCATCTAATACCATATAATCTGGGATTTAATTACCCATATTTTAGCTTCCATTGCTATGCATGATATTAACAGTCATAAAACTGCCCAGTTGCTTCAGTCAATCTTCCCCCAAATTTTTCCATGATGGTTTGCTGCAGTGTATTGTACAGATGCTGATGTGCAGCTGTACGGCCAGGAACCTGCTGCCCTTTCCCAGGATCCCATCTTGTTCCTCACAATCCTCCCTAAATAGCAGGGAGGGTCTCACTAGCATGTGCTCCACCAACTAAACCAGATCAAATCACATTCTGCAGTGCTGCTGCTTCCTGCAGTGTCTGTCGGGTGACGCTGGTGCAGATGTGCTGTGCCACGTTCTCAAAAGCAATTGCAGAAATGTCCTCTTTGGTATGTGGTCCATAGGTGTCCCTTGCATGTGCAGGTGGGAGATTTCCAGGGGGTCCAGGTAGCTGGAGGACTACCTGAGCCTGAGCAGGAATCTTCAATAAATGCACTTCCACCTTCCCTTTTGTTGTGAACGGCAAACACTCCATAATGCAGACTGGAGATTCAGCCTTACTGAAGCCTTTTGATTAATTGATGGTGAAATCTGCCAAGGTGTTAGTCTCAGTTCTTTGTAATATGTCCCTGAAAAATTGCTGGAGACTCTTGGCTGGGCTCATAGTTCAGTGGCTTTGTGCTGTGTTGCTGTCCCTTTAGAATCACCATTTCCCTGGTTCCTGCTGGGTCTGCTGGGGTTGTGTTGTTGGTCCCAGATTTGAGAGTGCACAGCCTCCCATGCACTGTGGTGTAGTTTTAGTCTCCATCCATCACTGTGCCCTGTGCTCTTCAGGATTACCGACCCCATATCTAAGCACAGCTGATCTGAACTTCCACCTTATGATGGACAGTTTCTAGTGGCCTTAGTATCTACATTGATTAAAACTGTAGGTTTGTCACGTAGCTGAAGCGAAGAACAAGGTGACATGTGGGACTGTCTCATCTATTCCAGCATATTGACAAGTCAAAAACTGTTCCCTGAGGCCCAGTCTGTTTCTCACCTCTAGGTACACGTCCTTGCTGGTCTCCTTGACATTCTCCTCTAATACATCAACTGCTGCACTTAGGTAACCATTAGCAAAGCCTGTCAGCTCCTCCTCTACCGGCAGGTGGAACATGCAGTGTTTCACCTGTTCTTGAAGCGTGATGGTGTGCTCTAAAGATTAAGGTGCCTTGGTTAGGTGGTGAGTGTCGTACACTCTCTATATTGTCAGTGAAGAGAGAAGGCTTCCGTAATGGGTAATTCCAAGGAGGAACCCATGTTAGGTAGTCTACAAGACTGATTCCTAGTCTACTTCAAAGTCTATTCAATTATCTCTTGGCCTTTGAATGGGACATGCCACCTGGATGCCCAGAGTAATCCCAACGTCTTCTGTAGAACTAAGGACAAGTGGGCAGAAAGCGTGCCTTCACATGAGGGTGATGATCCTGTTGGTGTGTGAACTTCCTACAGCAACTTGGTCTTGTTCTGTTCTTGATCCAAGCAGGGGGTGTACAGGGCAGGGAGAAATGAGGTGCAGTTCCAAATTCCATCTAGAAATTCATTTTTATCCCACAGCTAAAAGCCTATTCATCCTCCTCCGCCATGAAATCTAAGTGCAAGCAGGAATATTTGCATTTCAGAGGGTATATTTTAAGAATATGAGCCTGAAATACTCAGATATTGAATATTTCTCAAGCAAGGAGGTACATCTTCTCACAGTGATGAACTCCCCTAGCAGAGCGTATTCTGGCTTCAGCAGCATGACAGACAGCAGTACCTGAACAGTTTCCAGTTTGCCAAACTGAAGGCAGTGAGTAGCAGTGGGAAGTGTTTGTTCATCATGCCTTTGGCAAGAAGTAAGAAAGATGAGGAGGGGGATCTCACTTCTTACATTGTGTTTCCTCTTGTATCCAGTGGCATTTATGTAGCTTTTTACTAAAAAGCTGCAGTTCCAGCACAGTGGGGACCTGCTTTTCAAAGACTATCATTTGCTGGAAACAGCGGGTGTTTAGTAGTTGTGCAAATCGGATTTATGCTTGTGGCTGAACTCCATGTTTTAGCAGTAAAGCGACACTCTTGAATCTATAGCACTATTTGTTTAATTAAACTTTAATTATCTGCTCCCTGCCTCTCCACCACTAATCGTGGCATGTTTTCCTACAGTGCTCCAAATGCAAGCCTTTATTTAAAACTAGCAGTTTGTGTAAGAAAATCTACCTAAGAATTAACCACCTCCTCCTCACTCCGAAGCTAGTTGTCATGGGCGAAAGGATTCGGGATAGTGTATATGCCTGAACGCAGTCTGTGTCTTGCCACTTGCAGAAGCATATTGTCTTCTGCTACAGATGATTCACAGGGCTAGTAATTATTCCCCCGTTGCCTTGTTTCCCTCTCCCCTTTCTGGGGGTATCGTTCATCTGAGCAGTTCTCTGTGTGTTGTATTTTTAAGAAAATCCTAAATCTCTCTTGCATTGACCCTACCAAGAAGCCTCCAGCTCTGCTGCAATATTTACAGCACGACCGAGCACTCACCAGTTGGGAGATAGGTAACCTGAGGGTGAACATGCAGCTTCAATTCTACCTCTTGAGCAAAACGAAGTAGTGCTCCCCAGTTGCGTGGCCTCATCCTCTTCTTCGGATGTGTGATCATAAGCACATGTGAGAACATGATCACATACTTGAAGAATGCATCACAGTGCATTCACATCCGAATAACGACAGTGTGCTAATTGTTCAGTTAAATATTTTCTGAGGGTGAGTTTTGGATCCTTAGCATTGCACCAGCGTGAACCTGTGCATGTGGTCTCCCAGCCTCCCACGCTGTAGTCTTCGCTAACTGAGCCCGGAAATTCCTTCTGCTGACAAAAATCCCCTCTGTGTGAGATTTGGGGTCTTCACGAGCAGTTAGACACACACATTTGCCTGACCCAGCACATCTGGGGCGAGTGTCCCGGGGCTTCCCGGCAAGCTGAGGCTGCGCATCACCTCGCAGAGGGTGCTGGGTTTCCTTGGAGGATGGAGATGTGCAGCACAGACCCATTCCCATGCCGGCAGCCACTTTCCTGTTACAGAGCATCCAGACCAGTGCAGAGGGCTGTGCCCGCTGACCCCTCTCATGCCTCTGCACTTTCCCGTGAGTCAGACGTAACCCTTTTGCGCAGATGTTTAATGGGAAGTGGTTTGGGTTTTAAGCAGAACTGTCCTGTTGGAGAGGAAACCAAAGGTAGTTGCTGTGAAGAACCTACTATAAAGTGCCACTGGTGTAAGTCATATCCACTGTGTAGGTCTGTCTGGGCCTGGGCCAGGGAATCTCTGTCCACCCCTGGGTCAGAGTAGACAGCTCTCAGTGCTGGGTTGGCATCCAGTCTTGTGCTGAAATGGGATGGTGGGAAGGTGGTGTGGGAGTGAAGGAGGTGTCCAAAGTTACTCAGGAATAGTCATGAGTCAGAAAGCCTCCTTTTATACATAGAGAGCAGGTGAAAACACATCTACTCACATGCAGGCCAGCACACGGCACAGGGCACTGGGGGAATAACAGTCTTCACATCAGCACTGTTTCTACATGAGATTTTAAGGTTGTGGTGCTGGTTTCTGAGAGTGTCCCAGAGGCCTAAAAGCAAAGAAAGGCAGAAATGCCTCAAGTGCAGAGTGACAAAGCCCACAAGATGGAGGGTTGCAGTTATGCAGGTGATAACCTCACATCTGCTTCACTGAATTGCCAAACAGCTAGACAAGAGGGATGTTTCCATTTTGTAGCCTTATGAGGTGAAGCCAGGGAAGGTATGTGCTGGCTGCCTCCAGCTGAACTCGCCTCTGAGATCTCTGCTCAAACACAGACAGCAGAAGCACTGAAACCAGACGATCCCAGTTCACAGAGTAGTCCTGTAGTTCATAGAAACCAGATAAAACAACGTGCCTCCAAGAGAGGTTGTCCCATTTGGTGGGGCCCAACGTCTGCAAAACTCACGTACTGCTTCACATTCTGGCAAGCTGCATCTCCCTTCACTGGAGCATGGCAGCATCAGCTTAGCAGGAAAGTTTGGGAAGACCTCAACAGCTCTTGGGTCTCCACGGGCTGCAGTATCGACTCTGCACCCTCACCACCATCCCAGTTCAGCATAACCTCGCTGTGCTGGTTTCTCATCTGCTGCTCCTGTGGTCTGGGAAGTCCCAGGGAAGAAGCCCAGGGCCTGGCTGGGGCAGTTGCTCAGGTTTCTTCATCCTCGTCACCTACCGTGGTGTCTGAGTGGCAGCAGCTCAGGACTGTGAGCTGATCTCAGGGTCTCTACAGACGCTGGTAGGGGAGCTCCAGCTCCCAGCCAGATGCAGTGGCCCAGCCTAGAGTGCGCAGGCAATACCCCTCGTTGTAGGAGCTGCTTTCCTCTTTGGCTGTATGAACTTGCCAGGTATTTCATAATAAAGAATGCAGGTATTTGAGGATGAGTCACGAGGCATCAGGTCCACCTGGCCTGAAGACTAGGTTGTGCTGGGTTTCCTTGTAAACTGTGCCATAGTAAAATCTGCAAACACGTGGTCCTAGGATGAAGCTGTCACAGTATAACAGCAAAGGGAGATCTTGCTGGCTCAGCCAATACCATATATCACCCTGGATAGTTTCCTCAGCCCCTCCATCCTAACACTGCCACTGACAGCTGAAAATTAAATGTGTTTCTGGAAGAGAAGGTGAGGAAGCCAGTCTCGCACTGGGACCCCTGCCCGGGGGGACCCCTCTGTCCCGTCCCTCCCGCACGTGTCCCAGCAAAGGGTGTTGGTCACCGACTTGGTTAGGCAGTGAAAAAGGGCACAGCAGGAGGTCAGGAGGGGTGAGCAGCTGGTCACCAGCACCTTGGTTTCGGGGCCAGAGGGTCAGCACGGTGTGAGAGCATTGCTGGGCCGTGACAGTGCAGCTGAGCTGCTCAGAGGAGCCTGCTGCTCCCTCCTGCTCTGCATGTGTGCTGCCGTCCAGGCCACAGCATGAGTCTTACTAAATATCCCCCACAATCACAACTGCCTGGTCCGTTACCTTGCACGCTAATGCCGGTAATGTGCGGTGCTTGACGCCGAATCTCAGGGATCCTCCTCTCCCCTCTCAGGGCTGTCATGTGAGTCCTGTGTCTGTTGGCATCCAGAATGGGCAGCCGTCCACCACCTGCCCCCGCGGTGCCCCGCTGGCACAGAAGGGCCTCTGGAAGTAGTAAGGACACAGGACCGCAAGCCAGAGCTGGTGGTGGCATTAACAGAGTAGCTGTTGCGCCAGTCTGGGTGCCAACCGTTATCACTGCTAACTGGTTGGACTGGCATTTGCCAGGCAAACACAAGGCTGCAGTGCTTTAGCAGTGCCTGTTTGAATTTCTGTGCTTTCGAGGAGACCACCAACGCGGTGGTTCGACCCTGCTCTCGCAGCCGCGCGTGAGCGCTGCCTTTGCTGCGGTTCTGCTTTCTGACGCCGAGCGGTAACTTCGGGCTGCGTGGTGTTCGGGTGCACTGACTGCAGCTTGGTGCGTTCCAGGTGAAACCTTTGTTCTGGGAGATGGCCTCCCAGGGCCCTTGGAGCCTCGCCTGGACCCCATGGACTCTGCCTTGAACTCTGTCAATTCATCCAGCCACAGCAGGAGCTCCAGAGACTATCGCCTGCAAGGATACAGGCACCTGCACCAACCCTCTAGCCTCACCCAGGGCAGTACCTCTGCCTTGCGTAGGCTTAGCTCTGGGGGTAAGAGAGTTAAGAAGCCAGCCCTCCGATTGTAAATTGGGCAATAAAGGGCTTTTCTAACTCCAGTTACACCTTTCTAACTTCAGCAAGTACCAGAGACTGGCTTCTACATTGTTAAACAGGTAGTCTGTTAGGTTCGACGGTAGCTCTAGAGACGTGGCAGATGGGCGGGTGGAAATACGGAGAGGTGGTGCTTGCAGGGTCACTCATTCGGCGTGGTGACTAGGTGGGACCTGGAGGTCAGTGGATAGGAAGGAGTAAGCAGGAGCTGAATTTGCAAGCACGGGCATGGGGCCGTCAAAGCAATAAATGGGCGTCTGAGTCCGTGAGGATGGATCGGGAATGGCCAGGGAGTCGAGAACTGCCTGATGAGGCTGGGAGCTGGGGCGGGTGGCCGGGAGGATGAGCGGATGCGCGAACGGCACTTGTCTGTATGGAGGAATAGGGGCAGGAGAGCTGTTCAATGCAGTGAATCAGCACATGTCAAATACAGGTGTTTGCAAAAAAAGTTGTAATTTTAAGTGCATGGCATCAATAAAAGCCTCTAAAAAGCTCAGGCTGCTGATGCCTTGATCCGTCTGCCTCCCCCCACTTCTGTGTGTGCAGGCAGAGAGCTGGAACAACGGGCTGTGCCGGTGCCGGCATGTTGGGAGCAGGTCTTTTGTTAGCTCGGGCGGTGCTTCAAGACAACAGAATTTCGCATACGGGCTCAGTCCATCAGAAAACGCAGCCGATGAAAACACAAAACAGCTTTGCTGTGTTAAAATTGCTAAAGGTGGTGTTCGGAGCCGGGGAGCAAGGGGAGAAAGGGTGCGTGGGGAGAGAAGTGGGAATGGAGGATTGTTTTCTGCAAAGGTGGGAACTGTCAGTAGATGGGCAAGGAAGAGTGGGAATGGCGGGGGGCAAACTCAGCTGAAGGGGCACAAGGGGAAATTGGGGTTTAGAGTGAGGAAAAGGGCTCAGTATAGAAAGCTGCCCCGAAAAGTGAGGCCTAAGGAGAGAGAATAAGGCTTTGGTGTTAGACCTGTGCCACAGGAATCTCTGGGGCACGGTTGGGACGTGCCCTTCACGTTGTCTCTGCCGTTGCTTTGAGAGAGGAGACTGAATGGTAGATTAAGGGTGAATAACTGCTGGAGCGATGCTGCGGGGATACTTGGAGTAACGGCTGCCATCTCGCACTTCCCCCCCAGGTTCAGACAGATACCTTGGATCCCGAGACGTCTCGCGGCTGAGCAGCCGCGACCCTTCGTCCTGGACGGTGGAGGAGGTGATGCAGTTCATACGAGAAGCAGATCCACAGCTGGGACCCCATGCTGACCTCTTCCGGAAACATGTAAGTATGTCTGTATATATGTATATATATATAAGTGTGTGTGTGTATGTGTATATATGTGTGTGTATGTATATATTATATACGGGAGGGGGCAGATCATCACACAAGGAAAATCTAGGAGAGTCAGAAGAAGGGCAGCACTTTGTACCAGCTGGAGTTTTGTGCTAAGAAAAACATCCTCATAAATCCTGCTCATACCGTGTCCAGGCTTGGGATCCTCTTACTCAGAAATCGTCGAGGGGAAGACATCGCAGCCCAGCTACAGCGCCCAGCACCGCTGCCTTTGCGCGTATGGAGAGCTCAGCTCTTAGCTGGACTTGAACCCTAGCGCTGAAAACACAAAACCCTGTTCATCCTGGAGTCTTAATATTCACCTTGTAGCAGATTTCTTCTGGCAAGAAACATGTTCCAAGTGGAATTCATTGAGTGCATTGCTGCTAAACTCCCCTGTTTCCTATAAAAAGGAGTCTCGTAAGGCTCTGGTTCTTGTGCATGTCTTTAAGTGTAAAATAGCTGCAGACATACAGCATGGAGTTTGTACAATTAAAGCTACAAAAATTTTGGCAGCTCCACGTCCTGATTCCTGCCGGACAGTTCATCTTCCCTCTGCCTTTTGATTAACTCCATGTTATATCTGGTGGTGCTCGTGAAGTCAGAAGAGCAGTAGGAGAAAATAGCCATCTTCCCCAGGCAGGAGAGGCGGATGAGATGCTTCTTGCTCTGTGCTGGGCTGAGACAACACTCTCTCTCTCTTTTTTTTTTTTTTTTAATTAGTTCAATCTTAGAACCACCAGTAATTGAAAAATGTTTTGTTTTAATTATGCAAGACAGTGCTCAGCTCTGAGCACTGGAGATCTTACCAAGTGTGAGACCTAACTGAGTGTCGACATAGGACAGGATTTTCTATTGTTCGAGGTTGTGATTTCTATTTTTCATTTCTAAGTCCATTAACGTTTTCTTCATGGAAACCTGTCCACTGCAAAGCGCTGGGCCAAGCCTGGACCAGGTCAAGGAAAGGAGTGCTGCAAGGGACTGGAAAACTTCCACTCGCAGATGCTAAGTGCAAAGTTCTCTGGTTATTTGGAGCTTTGTGATCCCTCCCCTCCTCAGCCTCAGTGAGGGACACATCTGGCTCAGCTGTAAGCGTCAGATACTTTTGAAAGCTGTGATGTTGAAATCAGCCCTGCTGGAGATGAGATGCTCCAGTTGCTCTGCCAGCTGCTGGGACTTTGCTTAGAAACTCCAGAAATTTGCTTTGCACGCAGTGGCAGTCTCTTTGGGCTTGCAGGGTTTGGTCTCTTGCCTCATTCTTCAACCTTGACTTCAGGGCTGCGTGTGTCACGGCAGGACTGCTGTCAGGGCCAGCGCATCCTCTACCAGGAGATTTCTCCTGCAGCGGGATGACGATGCCCTTGAGTGAGAGACTGCTCCCCTGCACCGCCGCTGCCTCCATCGTTCCCCTATCAGGGAAACCCCCCTCTTTTCCGTCCTCCCCACCTCCCTTTAGGATTTGCTGACCAGCTGGACATGGCTCCTGGGTGTTTATCACCCAGCAGATTTCCCACCACCACGTGGGGGGTCCAGGGCCGAACCCCCGAGCTGCAGGCAGGGCGGGATGCAGTGATGCCCGCGCTGGGATGCTGCAGTTGCGCGCAACCCACCTCTGCTGTTGAGCGGTGCTCTCGCACCCAGCCGTGCTGCTTCAGCCGCCGTCATTTTGGGCACGGCCTGGCTCAGCGGGCAGGGTTAGGGCTTACAGCTGTAGTCACAAGTGCTGTTGTTTCCCCTCCTTGCAGGAGATCGATGGGAAAGCCCTGCTCTTGCTGCGGAGTGACATGATGATGAAGTACATGGGGCTGAAGCTGGGGCCAGCCCTGAAGCTCACTTACCACATTGACAAGCTAAAGCAAGGCAAGTTCTGAGAGGACGCTTGGCAGGACGGATCCTGGAAGCTCCGCTCCTGGCCATCCATACCCACGCTCGCCTGCCGACAGGTACGCATGCACACACACCCACTTACGCCGCAGACGGACGCCTCACCGACGCCCCAGCCCCGCTGCAGGGGTCCAGCCGCCTGCCCGCCCCT